TTTAAACCTTACTTTATTTTCATACCCTGATCACAGAATACTACCTTGAAAAACAAGAAAAGATGAAAAAATAACTGCTCAAATGAGGAACATTTTTTGTAACACTGTTTCACTGCTACACAGCTTTTGGTCTTCTGTCACATTTCAGTCATCTTACCCATGAAGGAGTAACTAATCAATCAGAAATCCCCGAGTCTCCCACCACACTACTGTTTGGTCTTTTTAGAAAGATTCGTGTTCCTATTTGTATTTTTTTAATGTTATGGAGAATGGAGATCAGTACCTTGGTAGTATTATACTCCTTGCTAGGCAAACTTTTCAATATAGCAATTATTATCCCTTTATCCTTGTCTAAATATGAGCTGAAATAGAATTAAGCCTAGTGTAGCAGTGTGGTTAGCACAGATTTTTTTCTAACACCTTCCAAGTGAGTTTTCCTTAGTTTTGTTCATCTGTTCTGAGAGAATGTTTTGCTTCCTAGTAGGCATGAAATGTGTGAGGTACTAAACTCGTGTGCTATGTCAGAAGTACACTGCAGACTTGATAAGGAAGCTGCCTGAGGGGAAGTGGGTATCTAATTTTCTTACGTGTTTGTGCAATGTTTTTTCGTTCACGTAGGGTAAGCCTGATATTTGCATGCATTTGTAGCTTCCTTAAAAGTCATATTTAAAAACTAAGGGGAGAGTTGCACTAAAGACCCTCTATGGTTGTTTTGCTCAAGCGCCTCTCTTGGGTAGCCAGCCACACTTCCTTCAGCACCCGTAAGGGTAAAGCCCGACGTTCAGCCTTAGGGGGCCTAATTTCCATTTTACAACTTCATGTTTGCAACTGCGCTGGCTTGAAAAACGCGCTGTTTGTGCACCTGGACAAGCTTAGGGGAGGAGGAAACTCTGAATTCAAGCATTTTCTTCTATTCCATTACTGATCCCACTCCAAAAAAAGAAGGCACGATTTTGAAATTCCAAACAAAGAGAACAGCCATCCCAAATTCAGACATTCATCCAAAATTCTTAAGTAGATTTTAATCATTATCTAGAGGTTTTTTATGATTATTTGCCTCTGTGCATTCCCAGGAGATGCTGCATCAGTTTAAACATTTCCTACTGTTGCTAAACATTAAATATTCTTCACATATTAGAAAGTGGGGTAGAGAAACCTGGCCTGAAAACTGCCAAAAGTAAACTATTTTGTAAAAGTAAATCAGGCCATTGTTTTGGGAAACAGATATAAATAAATAATTTGTGAAATATTAGAGATCATAAGAATCCTGCTGCTGTTCTTTTTATAACTGAGAAATATTCTTCATATTTTAGAAACTTGTTATATAGCAGGCTTTCTTACTCTGAAGATTTAAGAGAGAGTCCCTCACCAGTGCCATCACTCTCATTTCATCTAAATTACAACTAGTGGATTTCTCCCCAGGCCCTCTCTGCCTTTTAAGAACTTTTTTCTGGGCAAATCATCCTGAAGATTGTGCAGAAAATACTGAGATTAATATGAGACAAAACAATACTTTGGAGAGTAGCCTGATCTGAAACACATCCTCGTCAAAGTGAATTTAAATTTCAGTAGCCATAAAGGTTTTTGTAGCCAGAGATGATGTGTTTACCCCCCTAACCCTGTCCCCCACCTCACTTTTATTTTATTAGCTGTTATTTTCATTCTAAAGTTCTTTATCTTTTTAAAGTCTGAAACTAGAAGTATGGCAAAAATTAATTTTAATGAAATACATTAATTAAAATAAATTTCTACAGATGAAGAGCATGGTGATATTTTTCTGTTTGATATTTATTCAGTATGTATTACTGAGGTGTTTTGAGCAGGCACTGCAGTGCAGTACCATTCTTGGCATGAGACACATGATGGGATTATTTCTTCCTTTTCTCCAAGTTGTACATTGCTGATGAAGAGCCAGTGTTGATCAGTCATGCATCCAAATTCTTTCCTTACTAAAAACCTAGTAGTAAATATTTTTTCTTCAATCTTTCGTGAAAGTGGTATTTAAGACTTGGAACCTGCCTTCCAGGACCATTTTGCTAGAAGTTGGATAATGTATATTTATCTCCTAACCACCAGTATGTGTGGTCCATACTAGAGTAAAAAAAAAAAAAAAAAAGACATGGGTGTGTGTGAAGGAACAAGTAGGCAGGAGTGAAGGAAACAGGAACTAGAACATTCAAAACATCTGTATTTGTAATGACTTTCAGAATAATAGAATCAAAGGAATATTTAGGTTGGAATAGGTCCTTGAGGTTATCAAGTCCAACTATAAACCTATCACTACCCAATCCACTACAAAGCCATGTCCCTAACCACCATTCTGTAGGTCTTCAATTCCCTTCAGGGAAGGTGATTTAAACACTTCCCTGGGCAGCCTGTTCCGATAACTTTCTCAGTGAAGAAATATTTGCTGGTATCCAATTTAATCCTCCTCAGTACTACAGGAGGCCATTTCCTCTCATCATCTCAGGCATAGGAAGAGACGGACTCCCGCCCTGCCTGGGGTGTCTGCAGCACAGTTCTCCCCTGTGCCTTCCTAGGTGCCCAGTGCCATGTCTTGCCAAGACAGACATGCAAAGTGATGGGGCTTGCTTTGTGCTAGGAGTAGAAAAGTTGCGGGGGCATCAGAAGGCTGTGGAAAGGGGAGATGATGAAAGAGCCTCCTGCTGGCTCTCCTTGAAGGCTTGAAAGCAGCAGCTGAGCCCTGGGACAGGGCAGTGAGATGTGGGGCTCAGCTGGTCTGTGCCCCTATCTCTGCACCTCACTGGAGGGATGGAGAGTTGGAGGAAACTCCTGATCTCCACATCTCCTAAGTGCTCAGGCTGATATGTATGTTGCATATGATAGGCTTTGGCAAGATGTCAGGAGGGCTTGGGAGAAGAGCTTGTATATCCACAACCCTGAGTGCCCATACCCTCCCCCAGTCACCCCCAGCTTAGCACAGGTACTCCTGGGGGAAGTGGTCAAGGAAGAAAGAGAAATTTTCTGTGAGTGTTCCCTGCTACCAGTGTACTGGTACTCTTGCACACACTGTCCCAGGAGAGGCTCCTGCAGGAAACCTGCGCAGTGAAACCTGCCGGGAGGGGAAGGGAAGCACCGGCAGGGGTTGCCGTTGTGCAGTGCCCAGGCTGCTGCTGTCCCCTGTGCCAAAGCTGGCAGACCAAGCCAGGAGTTCTGATGGAGCCTGCATGCCTTGTGTGTGCACCTACAGGGGCCCTGGACAAACCATGGGCAGACAGACCCTGCTGGAAAACATTCTGGTCACAGACCTTCCACCCATGGTGACACCACAAGGGTGTGAGACACCTCATAGCCAGGAAGGCAAATGCTCCAGAAAGAGCAAAGTCTGCTCTGCTGGATGTTTCCCTTTGTTGAGCTTCATTAAATTACTTTAATTCGAATTCCTTAGCCTTTCCAGGTCCCTTCGAATTGTATCACAGCCCTGTGATGTTTAGCCACTGTGTCGTTTTGTATTATTTGTGAATTTGCTGGGGCTGTGCTCTCCCCGCTATCCACCACCTCAGTGAAATAACATTGACCCCAATCCTGACACTGGGTTACAATACTATTAACTGGCCTCCAAATGGGCATTGTATTATTGATTGCAATCCTTTGGCCCTGCATTAGGTTACTGAATGAATCTATTCCATTTGAAGAAAACTTTGTCTGGTACAGTCAGAATGGTCATTTTGCGTACAGAATATATGTTTGGTGGCGACTAACTAAGGACTGCCTTACGTGTCTTCAGTTACAGCTTTTCTTTGTTGCAGTTAGCAAACGAAAGTTACGTTACTAGATTAGTATGGGAGCTTAAACCAGTAACTTTTAGTTGCAGATCACAAGAGTAATAAATAATATGCTGCATGAAGCTCTATTTTGTAGGTGCAATATCTTTGCAACTTTGATATCTCCCTTATTTAGGATGGTGGGAGAAGACTGGAAGATCTGCACAGCATGTGGTTTGACTGACTGTGCCCTGTCTAGTTTTCTATACTGTGTGAGCCTTGTTGATTTGACTTTGTGTTCCTCTCCTTCTTTTCTTCCCCACATCAACCCTTTACATATTCACAGCATAGCACAGCTTTTTGATATAGCTACTGTTTTTTGATACGAACACAGTGGACAGCAAATCAGCACTGATAGATCAAATATGAATTAAGCAGCAGGCACAAACAGCTCTGCCTGCTTCAGGACTGCCAGGGAAGGTGTCAGTCTGAAGTGCTGTGTGCTAAAAGGCCCTACATTAAGACTCCCATTCCTCAGTTACACCTTTGCATTATGAACCCTCCCTTTTTACATAGTGTCCATAATGTCTTCTGCACTTTTCTTCATGTAACTCAGTTGCACACTTTAGCTAGCTACAAGACAAATGTGCTATTAACTCTGTTCTCATATAGCCTGAACTGTTTAATGCTGATTCCACAGATTGCTGCATGGCTTCCCTAAAATGATGCTTCATTTTATTGTGAATGGCTCATATTTTAACTCATGTGTTTCACAACTGTAGAAGCAGAAACTGAACTTATGATCACTTTGTCCACTTCTAACCAAGGCACTGGGAAACGGGAAAAGAGAGCTGCTGGGATTTAGAAAAACAGCTTCTAACAAGATAAAAATAAAAATGGTATCTTCACTTTAAAATAATTTTTTTGATTGTCAACATATGTATCACCTACAAATGTATTACTAAAATTACCCCAGACTACGCCCCCTGGTGGTTTTCAGGTTAGACATCAGGTGAATTTCTTCACAGAAGGGGTTGTTAAACGTTGGAATGCTCTGCTGAGGGGGTGATGAAATCACCATCCCTGGAGGTGTTCAGTGCCATGGTCTTGCTGACAAGATGGTGACTGGTTCAAGTTTGGACTCAATGATTTTACAGGTCTATTCCAACCTAAATAATTATGTGATTCTGCAAACATACTGCAGGTGAACTGCTGTCTTACTGGTTTATCCTCTTTTTTCTACTGACATTCATGTCTCTGTCTTTATGTTTTCAGATACAGTATTCTAGATTTGCTGCTTGGAAAAGAAAAAACCATGGCTTCCAACACATCAAACCCTGCTAACCATTTGCCATACTTCTTTGGTAATATCACACGTGAAGATGCTGAGGAGTATCTGATGCAGGGAGGAGCAAGTGATGGACTATACTTGCTCCGCCAAAGCCGGAATTACCTGGGGGGCTTTGCCCTGTCCTTGGCTCATGGAAGGAAGGTTCACCACTATACAATTGAGAGGGAGCTGAGTGGCTCCTATGCTATTGCAGGAGGCAGGTCACATGCCAGTCCTGCTGAACTCATTAACTATCACTCAGGGGAAGCAGATGGCCTTATCTGTCTACTGAGAAAACCTTTCAACCGGCCACCAGGTGTTGAACCCAAAACAGGACCCTTTGAAGATTTGAAAGAGAACCTCATCAGAGAGTATGTTAAGCAGACTTGGAATTTGCAGGTAAAGCTAGACTGATCTCACCATAAAGTAATCTTTGAGCTAGGAAAAAAAAGAGATTGCAGTATTTGTTTCTAGCTGTTGCTGCTGGTATGTAGTTGTAGGAATAGTATTTTTTCACAATGAAATTATAGCTGTTTGAGATTTAACAGTGAGGTGTTTTTCTCCCCAGTACATGCAGTAACTTGGCAGTAAGTCTAGTTTTTTGAAATTTGAGCCCTTAGAATTTCTACAATGTCATGGTCTAATGTAATCTACCTCTGCACTAACGTATGCCATCAGATTTGGACCAAAAATTAATACATGTAATGAACAAGATACATTTGTATCATTGCTTTTTGTTTTGCTCATTGCTTTTAATTCTGATTTTTTATGGACTGATATGCAGGCAGGCATAGTGACATGATGACTTGTTTTACATCTTACTCTCTTAGTTGGCCTTGCTTCTGTGATGCTAATTTAAGTTATGTCCAAAACAGAAATTGTTCCTGAAAGAGAGCAATTTCTACACTGCAGACCACTGCCTATATATCTTCAGTGCTGCAGGGGTCAAGCAGGAATTTTCCATGTGGAGGACAAGATATTGGATTTTTTCCTAAGAATGGCTATGAAGAAGCCAGTCTTAACATGGAAACAGTAGTGTAGGAGGCTGCAAAGAGAGTATTTGTTGTAGTGTGTGGGGACAAGTATTATTTGACCTTGAGATGTCATGAGTTACCTTTATGAACTCATGAAGATACTCAAGGTTCCTAATCTCTTTTGTTGCTAGCAAGTAACCCTATGACTTCTGCTCTGTAGAATATATGTAGCATCCCCAAAACTGGGAAAACCTGAAACTTATACAACATTTTCTATAACTGCTGAGGTGCACAGTGTCTTTTTTGATGAGTCTGAGCTTAGTCTAGAGGGAAGTTGTTGAGCTCTGTTTAAATGCTGGTGAAACTAGTGGGGGTTGCCCTCAGATTCTGAGCCCAATTTAGAAGTGGTAGGTTGTAGACAAGGTTAGAAATGTCTAAGTTAATATTACTCTGAATAATTCACTCTAAAATGAGGACTCTTCTGTCTGGGAAAATTTGCATTAATGTCTTTGACAGACATGCTGCAACAGTGCAAAGCACATTCAGTTTATTTTAGTACACTGCCATAGGATATGTAATTTGGAGGTGTGTTTGAAATCTCACACTAACACTAACTTCATTTAGCCATGTCTCATTAGCATAACAATAAGACTTTTTTGTAAGCTTAAATACCGATATACCAGTGGTTTTATTTACTGGTTAATTTTCCTTCTTTTTCTCAGAGGTAAAGGGAGAACCCTAGTTTTGTGATGTTTAGATTACAATATGTTAGTTTCTGGTTTAAAATCTTTATAGCAACCAGGCCTTCACACACAACAAATATGTGCAGATTTTGGATGTCCCAAAAGCAGATCCAAAAGATTGAGAGTCTGCCTGTCATCTTTTTATTGCAGAAGATAGTTTGACTGTTTTGCTGTGTTTTTACTGCTCTCTAGGGACATGCTCTTGAACAAGCTATCATTAGTCAGAAGCCTCAGCTGGAGAAGCTGATTGCCACTACAGCCCATGAGAAGATGCCGTGGTTCCATGGGAGGATCTCTCGGGAGGAGTCAGAACACCGTATCCTCATTGGGTCAAGAAACAATGGAAAATTTCTGTGAGTTTATTTTTCTGTGGTATTGCTGTTTGCCTCCAGTGTTACTGTACAGCTCTTTTGAATAAATCTCAAATGAGACTATTCCCCATAACATGGTTCATCTACAGTGAGAGCACCCAGTTCAGCATAATTTACATGACATGACCTGCCCTAAGCAGGTCCCTCACTTAAATAAAGATGGAAAACTATAACAAAAGCCTGGAACGCTTGTAGGGGTGTCCACTAGGGCCTGCTGGCACCAGTTGTGACCAGCCCAGGGCACCCCCTGGCCTTTGCAGCCCCACTGTCAAAGCCTGACCACCTGCACCCAATACACAGGCTTATTAAACTGGTACAATTAGAGACAAACTCCTTGTGTTAGCAGCTGTTGGGACCTGTATTTGTCAAGTCCCCCCGGGACAGTGGTGGTGCTTTGTTTTGCAGTTAAGCAATAAAATGATCGCTTTTACCTTGACAGCACTATTTTGTGTCTGCTGCTTACCCTCTGCATTTACTGAGCCTAATGATCTTTTGTTTTCTGAGCACAAATGTGGCATTAGGATAGTGACTGACAGCCATCAGGAACTAGAGCCTGGGGTTTGTTTGGAGAATTCTGATTTGAAAAATACCAGTGTTTTAACAGAGGTGTCTTTTGTCACTCCCACTCGCACCCAAAAAGTATTTATATAATGATAAAAAATTTGAAAAATTAGGCTTAAAAGTCAAGACCAAGTAAGGATCACTTAGAACTGTATAATTTCTGAGGGAAATTTCATCACCTACCTATGTAGCTTTCTTTAGCACTCAGCCTTCTTTGGCTTTTTTTAGAGGTAGTCCAAGGTGAAACCCCACAAGCGAGTGCAGGAAGGATATGGTTCTTCAGTACCAATTCTTTCACTTACTGATCTTCTGTAATTGTGCCATACTAATTGCTAATGTGGATGCTGCATATTTCCATGTTTCAGTCTTAGCTAACAGGAACCAGTAACTCCTTTAAATCCTACTCCTAGTAGAGTGAGTTCCTATGAGGTCTTAACCACAAACGCTTTGATTGTAGTGACATCTCATTTCTTGAACTCTCTTTTTTTCCCCTCAGTACTTCAATTTTTTGTGTTTCACAGCCAGTCTCACCCAAGTAGCCATGCATGCCTATTTTCAGCCTCATGTTCCCTATTGATGGGGACCATTTCCGGAGGGGCACTTACCCAGTTGCTTTTGCTGCCATGTGTAACAAAACATTTTAATAAGTTTGTCGCAGATTTTGTTATACTTGCAGTGAAAAAAACTGTTACAAAAGTTACAAAAATTTGTGGAGCCAGATATATATCTTTCCGCTGCTCAGGAGTTTAGAGAATTTGATGAGCATAGCTGTTACCAATTAGCAGCCCAGCATCACCACACAACCTCTCCTTTTTCTTGCCCTTTGATTTTGGTGTTTCTTTTCCTACTTTTTAGACAGAAGGTCCAGTAATTGAAAGAAAAAGCAATCCGTTCTTTTAATGACAATTTTATACCTGAAGATATATTGCTTTTTTGCTTTCCATTTTAATGCCTTACCAAACCAACTTTGTATCAACTGAGTCATGATGTTGATCGTGTATTAAAACTGGCAGCTTTTCTAATTTCCCTGAGGCACACATTGGTTCCTCTGTGGCCAAAATACTTCTCTTTGGGGCAAGGCAGGGAGGGGGGGATGCAGGGAGAAGGAATCCAGTTTTTCTTTAAAGGATCCACGAGCAAGCATTTCTTAACAACAGGGATAGGTTTTGGAGTAAGGGAGAGAAATTTTTTAAGAAACTTGACATTTTCAGCCTCTGTTATAAACACTGGTCTCCTTTTGATCTTCTATAAGCAGTCCTACTGCTTTGACTAGAAATATTTTTCCACCATTTTCCTGTGTTTCTTAAAGATGGCCTAGGAGGCATTTCTGATGCTCTCTGTAGTGACATGCTCAATGAGTCATGGGAGAGCATTCAGACCTTCTCCTACAGGACTGGATATGACAGTGGATCCATATTTTACATAGTTTTGGTGGAACTCGGGTAGCTACTCTCATATCAGAAGGAGAAGCCTATAGAGGAGAAAATGCTAATTTTAAGGTTCTGTTTAAACCATGAGAACTTCCACTGGAGCTTAATATGAACTGCTATTGTGTTGATCTTCAGTACCTGTTATTAAGGACAAGACTGTTTACTTCTGCATCTGTAGGATGCTTTCTGATGTATTAATTATTCTTGCACAGAATTCCTATCTGGCCATTTTAGAATGTAGCAGCCACTCAGCTGCCATTTGCTCCTGTGGTCTCAGGGAAGACACAGGGAAAGAACTTGATCTGCCGCACAGTGCAGTAGCCAGTGCAGCAAGAAAAGTAATGTGTTGTTCATTTGTGTTGAAATAAATTATTCTACATTCCTGAGCTGTTCTAGCTCTCAGACCCATACACTCTGAGACCCAAATAACAAAAGAACTGTCTAATTCAGAGAGGTTTATTGCTTTCTGCAGTGGGTTGCCTAACATGGGCTTGCTCAGCAGGTGTTGAGAAATAAACCACTGATTTCTGGGATAACAAAAGAACTGTCTAATTCAGAGAGGTTTATTGCTTTCTGCAGTGGTTGCCTAACATAGGCTTGCTCAGCAGGTGTTGGGAAATAAACCACTGATTTCTGGCTAACCGAAGCAGAAGAGGCAAAACTGTTGAGTGTGAGTATGGTGTATTGTTTTACGTTTCAGGCACAGATATCACATAGTTTTACTTACCCACCAGTAGTGCTTGCCAGAATATTCTGTACATCTGTGGTATGAAGGCTTTGAAATTGTGACTGTGAATTAGTGTTTTTCTAACACTGGTCAAGATAATCAAGCCCAGTAGCTGACTGAAAAGTAAAACTTTCCAACATATAAGTCTAAGAGATGTTTGCTTCTTGAGGTAAGAATAGGAGCGTGGGAACAAAGAGAGGAGCTAGATTTTTGAAGAGATGAGGTACTCCTGAGGTTATTTAACAAGTTCACAATTAAATACTTTTATGTAACAAAAATCATATTGTTTATTATGGAGAAAATAACAAATCTTAGAAGAGTATAATATATCTGTATATTTTTAACAAGACTCTCCAAATCTTCGTTACACCAGAAATTTGCTATCCATTTGACCTGGCTACCTTGAAACAAAATCCAATACAGCAGTCTATGTAATAATACAACTATCATGTAGATTTCTTTAGCACTGCTGTGCAGAAATACAAGATTATCAAATCTAGAATTATTTTAATGGTTTAAATATGTAAATAGTTGAAAGGCTTCCTGACTGCTGTTCAAAATATCATGAATAGTGCCATAAAAATAACACTACAATGCATCCAAGGAAAAATTTTGAGCTAAATGTGCATGTTTTACCAGGGAATTTTCAAAGATATTTTTAAAGTTTTTTTCATGGCTTAAAAGTCAGTAAAGTATGTATGTGGATGCTAGAGAGTTTGTTTTCAAAACCAAACACAGAAACTTGACTTAAAATGTGACTTAAAATGTGAGGTATTTTCTGCTTCTTCTGTGAAGAATGTTTATGTAAGATTGCCACTCTAGGCATGAACTTTGGGGGGGAAAAATAGCAGTGGAACAGAAGTAAAATATTTCTAAAATTATCTGAAAAGAAACTGAAAATAGAGAACTTTATGTCTGAAGCTGCACTTAACTACACTAGCACTTTTACATTCTATATTGGGTGATGAATCTTGACCCAGCTTCTGGGGTTTATTACATTTTGTCTGGTGGGGAACATTGATCATAGATCAAACTGTTTATATTGGTAATACTTTTTTCGATATTGTAGTAGTATTTTTATTAATAATGCATGATTAAATATTTATAATATTGTTGGATATCTGTGTGAGTTTATGCATGCATGTGTGGAAGAGTTGAAAAATAAATTATAACTTTGCTAAAAGCAAAAAGCAGAAGAGTTAGTTTCCTGTGTAGTTTCACATAAGAAACACCTCTGATATGTGGTAAGGGTTGGCATATCTTGCCATCTGTAATGACCACTTAAGTTATACAAGCATGTGATCTTGCATATGTGTTAAAAAACAGAAGTTCTGAAGTTGGAGGAGGATAAAGAATATTCAGAAATACTGTTAAACTTAAAAATGCAATATTAGGGAAATTATGAGTGAAGGCATTGCAAATTAGCACTTTATATAAACTTGTTACATGTGTTCTTAGCTTTATGTAGCTCACATAAAATATGAACAGATGTGTAAAAGGAAACTAGAAAACTATTTTGGTGTCATATGACTGTCTTCAGTACATAATGGGAATATGAAAGAGGACAAATCTAGTTTAGACTATTATAATGAGTCACAGTAACATGCCACATCATGGCTATGACAACTAGAAACTAAACTGACTCTTAAATGTCACAATACTTAATACTAGTATTTCAAAATAATAAGCTTTGAAGTGCAGTTGTCTGTAAGAGTTTTATTGTCTTTTGACTGACCAAACGTTTCTGTTTCTGGTATATGTAACACTGTCTATTTACACTAATATTGCTGCCTTCTTCTAGGAGTTTGCTGCTACCAGTCTACATACTGAGCTAGGTCTTTTTTTCTGACCATTCTTTAGATAATTCTGTCAGTATTAAGTTTCTGTCCATAAAAGGGACTGGACATTGTTGACATCATAGAAGATGAAAACAATCATATTAATTGTGACCTTAATTCAGGAATATTAATTAATGATGAAGGTCCTCTTGAAAGTGCCAAGGAGTGCTAGGCTTAGATGACCATAAAAGTTTTTCAAGAGAAATGATAATACAGAGACAATGAACTGTGTTTCTGGGGGTACTCTCTTCCTCTCCACGGCAGCCTGGATGATGCCCATGACTCTTTGGGGGAGCTGTTTACTGATCTTCAGTTAGGTACATGTTGGGTGCCACTTGCAGACCAGTGCAGCCAGGGCTGTGGCCTCTGAAGACAGGTTCTGCACTGGGTGCTTCAGCAGCAGAGTGGGTCTGAGGTGTGAAGAAAAGCTGGAACCTAACTGAGATAGCTGTCCTAAGATCTCCTATTTCAGGTACAGTTTTACTGCAGAGGTGTTTTTTAGGGGTTTGGTGGAGCATGGTATATTTTGCTGCCAGGGTGGAGTCAACTGAATAGATGAATTTGATGCAATCCTTCTCATAAAAGTATTTTGTAACTGTGCAGCAGACTCACCAGGAGATGAATTTTTAGGTTCTATTGTAGATAGCAATAGTGTGAAGCTGAGATATCTCCTAAATTCTATAGTGTTCTGACATTTCTGAAACAGCTTTGAATGTGTTAGCAAACAGGGGAGAAGAAATGATGGGAATGAAGACAGCAGTCAATCCAGTTTGCCCTTTATATAATTCTTTTACAGATGGCACCAAGTTCATTTCTTATTACCCACAAACTTGGAACATATGCAATGTGCAGCTGATCTTTGAAGTGATAATGAGTAGCCGTGTTGTTAATAGCATTACCAGGGAGATGGTCATGAAGAGAGAGGGCAAGACAAGCAGGGAATGGCTGAAGCTCCATCAGCAGTGGGGAATGTCAATATCTCTGGCATCAAGAAGGCTGTAATTGCTGACAAGGCAAAGCAATGCCAAGAATAAAATTTAGCATGCCTTTGGATTCAGCAGCAAGAATGATTTCACACCATTCCTAGAGCAAGAAATTTGCTTGTTTATTTTCTTCATAATTCTCCACTGCAGAATGCTGTGAATTCTGTTTTTTTCTCTGCAGTCAATGAGGCATATTCTAATATCAATTTATTTCTTTGATCCTCAGGGATATTTTTCTTTAGAAAGAGAGGGATCATTTGGGCTTTCAGATGGAAACAGAAAAAAGTGGGACATTGTTCTTTTTGCTTCCAAATGAAAATAACAAAGGAAGGAGTGGGTAGCTGTTTATACTGTCTGTAATAATTCTCCAAATTGTTACTGGTTGCTGTCTAGTTTGCACTCCCAAAACCACAAAAAATGCTCAAACACACATTGCATGAAATACAAAATGAATACCTAATTATTCTCTGCATTGTGTCAGGTAACGGTTTTAATATCTACATTCCTTATTCTGCTGTTTTAAAAATGTACATCACCAAAAAATCTAGATACCTTGGCACTTCTCTAATATAGCTAGGTAGCTATGTACTCAAATCTGTTCTCAATGAATTTGTTCATATTTCTGATTAATTCAGTAGATGAAACAACAGTGTTGTTTACAGGTGTTTATTATCTTTATGTTTTTCTTCTGTACATTTGCAAATCTCTGCAATAGCATGAAATGGAAGACCAGGGATGCCTCACTGGTGGCTTCCTTCCTTGCCAAAATTTTTCAATTAAGACCTCTTTATTTACCAGTTTTTAATGAACAACAGTAAATACTATGTTTCATTTCAGAGCACTTTAAAGCAGAGAGTGCATTTGGAATTTTGATTTTTTTCTCAACATTCTGAAAATTGTTGCTTTCCATACAAGGAAAGTTCTATATATGAAGAGAGCTCCCAGATCTGATGTGAAGGCCCTGGGTAATACAAGCAGCACCATCAAGATGTGAAACCTTTCTGTCCATTCAAAGAGGTTTCAGGTTACGACCTTTTAGTTTGAATAATATTTGCCTTTTATTCTATTTTTTACAACAGCTGTTGATGTAGAACTGGATACTGTTACCCAGCTGCAGTTCTTGAGGCTTAGCCTAACCTAGACAGCTATTACCACAGTCTGCAAAACCAAAGTGAAATTGTGAAACATGGCTTGGAGCAATCCCTGTCACGCAGTAAGGGTTCAGTTTGCCAAAACTAAGACTTAAGCTGTCAATTCAATGCACTTGATACTTCTGCCTTTCAGACGTATTTGGAAAGATGGTAGTATCTTCTGGATTCATGTTTTGTGGGGATCCAGGTTGTGTATTTCCTGATACTGTCTTTTGTAGGGATTTAGGTTGTGCTGGAGTTGACTGACTACAGTTTAAAACCCACCTGTTCCATAACCCTAAGGGAGGAAGGGTCCCACTGGACCCTGATTAATTATGTGTTCAATGGAGGTGTTAGAATGGAGGTGTTTTCAGGATGTGCAGTGATAGAGCTCACAGCCTTCTGGCTTTGGGCTGCAGATGGCTCCATATCATGCAGCTGTTTGGACAGGGGAAGGAAAAGCTCTGAAATACAATTACAACCCTGTAAATGTGAACTCCACCTAATGGACAGGGGAAGGAAAAGCTCTGAAATACAATTACAACCCTGTAAACCTGAACTCCACCTAAATCTTGCACCAAAGAATGATAGAGCTGTTTGGGTCTCAACCTGAACTCCACCTAAATCTTGCACCGAAGAATGATAGAGCTGTTTGGGTCTGTGCCATAGTCTATTAGAATTCAGGACTTTCCCCTCCCATGGGTGCCTGTGCTCTCAAGAAATGTTTGCAGTGCCTCTCCTGAGAGCAACAACTCTTGCAAATGAAAACCAGTTTCAGTAGAACTGAATTGTATTGGAGCCTCCATTTCTTCTTGTGAAACATGAAGGGTATTTGTTACTGAGAAACAATCCATTGCATTTTTATAGTCTTATTTGTGCTATTCTGAACAGAAGCCTAGTTGCAATGCCATTTGTTTTAGAAATAATGCCCTCTATTCTGAAAATATTTTTCTAAGGCTTATTTGCTTTGAGCAGGTCAGAAGAAGACAAAGTAAAAGTCACTCTTCATTTTAGCAGCGCCTGTTGCTCTTCACTGGTCAGTCAACACAGGAAATCAGCATGCTGAAAAAACACCTATATGCCGTGACGAAACCACAATGTGTTTCAATTTTCTTTAGAGACTTACACAAGTTACTTTGGTTTCAGAAAACAAAAAACTGACCCTACTTCCCTTTTCTTTTAGGCATTGTCCTGTTCACATTTTAGGCAACAAGAATTGTGCTATTTGAAAGAAAAAGGTGCATAAATAGTTCAGACAAAATACGGTTTTATTTCAGCCTTGAGACAGTCAGCTGAGGAGAATACTTTAATACATGCCTTTGCAATCTCCTGAGATATAACAGCAAGTACCAGTGTTGCACCAGCAAAGTTTCTTAACACCTTAGTGAGAGTTTACTGGTATATTTCTTTCAAGGCTGTTTAAAAATTTGAGGGAGAGTAAGTAGATTTCTGTACACGCCAGAACAAGAAATGCTCCAGGATCTAGGCTTTTTCATTAAAAAAAGAAAAAAAGCCAGTCAATTTTATTCTAACTCTACTGCTGTCACACTGTCAGCTGTCAGTGAGCGTGGGAACCTGACTGAAAGAAAAAGCCTTCTCTGTAAACTCAGAAATGTTGCACCAACTATGATGGTGCTAGTAACAAATTCCCATCTATTCTGGGTCCGGTAATCAGAATATGCTGGTCTCAGTGTCAGCTAGCCCTGAGTTCACATATAACAATCCTGTCATGCTTTATCTCAGAGGGCGCTCGCAGGTCTGCTGGAAGGAGGAGATCATCCTGCCTAGGAGTTTTAGACAAAGTTTTTATATTGCATTTGGCAATTTCTCTGTGATGAAGAGAGATAAGATATGTACACTTCAATACCGTGTTAAGTTTCATATGAATTTTATGTGAAATCTGCAACAAAGCATTAATGTCTTTCCTGAAATTATAAGGCTTAATGATTGAAGAGATATATTATTTTCTTTACATTCCCAGCCACACAGCAAGCTATTTCAAACACAAAAATTTTGCCTTTTCACATTATGTTCTTTTTGTATTTTATCTTCTGTTCTTACTGTCATCTCTTCATTTCAAAGTAAAAGATATAAGAGAGGCAAGCCAGTGCTGCAGAACCTTTAAAATGCATGTTTGCCCAAAGAGTGCTTTTTGCGATGTACAGTGTTCTGTAGCTGCCTTACAGTGCCTTACATCATTGATTTTTTTGTTTTCATCTGTTGCCTTTTTAGAAGAAAAAAAAAAAGAAACTTCAGTCAATTTACCTGAAAGTTAATTACACTAAGAAATAAATGAAAGGCTTAACAAAATGTTTCCATAAGTTGCAGTGCTGATTTTGTTTTGGTTTTAATTCAGAAGCCTTAAGGAAAGGGTGATTAAAAAAGAATGTTTATTCCTGGTCAATACTGAAAGTCTTTCTTATTTCTACAGTATCCGAGAAAGGGACAGCAATGGTTCCTATGCCCTGTGCCTACTGAATGATGGAAAAGTACTTCACTATCGTATTGACAGAGATAAGACAGGAAAGCTCTCCATACCAGATGGAAAAAGATTTGACACCCTATGGCAGGTCTGTTAAATTTATGTCACGTGGATATCCGTCATCACATTTCCATGTAACTGACCAACTGACCAATGTTGTTTTATTTTGCCTTGTGATAATAGTCTTTGGCTAAAACCAGCATGTTTTGGCAGGTTATTTGTCATGTTTCCAACATTGTGTGGCTCTGTACATGAAGAAAACTTCTTAATGTACAAAGCTATGTGAGTGTAGAGTTAATAATTTTCAGATGTGATGTTGCAGCCTGGCTGAGTTCAAAACTGTGATTATTATTTTATTAGCTGAACATTCTCTAGAATGAAAGTCTGTTCGCATTTGCAAGTAACTATTTTCAGTAATGGATATGCTGGGTTTAGTCTTTTGCTAATGTAATTTATGACAGCAACCAACAGAATTCTAGCAAGCAAAAAGAGGATGTTTAAGATGTTGTACACATAATGCAGTCTCTACCTTCAAGTCTGCTAAAGCATGGCTTTCTAAGGCTTACCACCAAAATATGTCTGAACCCTGGTAAAAAGTAAGCAATTAAGTCCATAGATGGCTCTGCCATAATAGATGCTAAAACTGAATACTGTTGAAATTAGTGTAAATTGAAAATACTAAGGGAATTGAAATTCCTGCAGAAATCTCTTACATCCTTTTGCTTAAAAATCTATTAAAATTAATTGAGTAACAGATGTAAAATCTGAATCTTCGCATGCATATATTAATTCTTAGGATTTTTGTATTTCTTTCCTGATGTCACTAGAAATTTAAAAGCAGCTCTGCTATCTTACAATTTTCATGAACATACAAGCAACTGTTACACTCACAGACCTTCTCCTTTGTACCCAAATGGAAAATAGCAATAAAAACCTGTAAAACATGATGTGGAGAGGACAATCCAGGAGCACAAATGGCCACAACTACTGGTGCTACATTTATTAACTGTGTACATCCCATTGCAATTTTGAGGTCCAAAGATAACATTGCATATTAAAGTAAATAACATGTGCAGTAAAGATCTGCTGTATTCCAAGGTCATTTTTTGTAATATATATCAACTATTGCACATATGCACACATTTCTAAAGAGATAATATATTTAATAATACCACCCTCATATTTTCTTATCTTCTCTCACTATTTCTTTTTTTCCCCTCCCCTCTCATTCTGCTAGTTAGTTGAGCATTATTCATACAAACCAGATGGATTATTAAGGGTTCTTACCATTCCTTGTCCACAACATGGCTCAGAAAATGGTGAGTTATTCCTATTATTTTTATATGTGTTGAAAGACATGATAATTATGATAAATTGGTGTGAATTTTTTCCACTTCTCATATAGGTGGATGTAGATTTTTCACATCTTCAAATGAGGTAATATCTGCCAGACTGTGCATGATGGAGGCAGATCATGTAGCTTAAGGGTACCAAATCAAATTACTTCCGGGTCTAAATTATTGTTTGATCAGAAATGTGCTTTGCTGCTCAAAGTGGCAGTGTGTGTTTCTTGGACCACCAACACAAACAAGCTGGTCTTCCCACCACTGCTCCAGTGGTCCTGACTCCAGGCTGAAGCAGGCACAGCAGCAGTGCTGCTACAGGAATTCATCATGGGTGCAGTGAGTCGTGCACCCAGCAGGTGAAGCCCCCTGTTGGGGGGTGCAGGGCAGAACAAGGCACTGGCTGCACGTGACACTGAAAATGGGGGCAGAGAGGCATTCCTTGGTAACCTGTGGGAAAGGAGGAGAAGAGGTGGGGGAAAGTGTCAGTGTGCTTTTTATCCAGTTTCTTCTGTAATGTCATGTCACGCTGAAGAGACGTTGTCCTCCCTCTTGCACTGACTGAAAAGGGAAAAGAGATTAATCCGGCTGATCTATGTGCAACTTGTGCTTTTCCAGAACTGGTTTTTCTCTAAGGCCACCTTCTGTCATTCTAACTGGATGCCAGTGCCATGGTGAGAGGATATAGAATAATAAAATGTAATCATAGAACCATTTAGGACACTAAGATCATCAAGTCCAGCCCTGAAGTTTTTACTTTTCCATTAATTTGAAACACTACATGGCTTTTTCCACCATTATTTTCATTCTCCTTTGAATCATTCAGGCTCTGCACTTACTTTTGTCTCTGGCCGGAAATACCAGAGTCTTCTGCATATAAGAGAGAAAAGAAAAGGAAATAGTCCAAGAGAAATACTGTGATGTGATCTAAAAACTACACAGTTGGTCTCTTCTGTAAAATTCTGTGTTCTTACACAAATTTCTCAAACTTACAATTGATTCTTTTGCAGATAATCTTGGTTTTAATACTCATCCTTCTTCTGGATCACTTCCTAAGGTAAGTGAAGGTGGAGGTATAGCAATAGCATTCATTTGAGGAGGATTACAGTCACATACTGTTCTGGTAATCCTAATTCTTGGGTTTTCATCTGTGAGTTTATTTTTCTTGGGTTATAAACAGTGATTTGTAAAGAAACTTAACATATTCTATTATGGTATTGCTTTCATCAGTGTTTTGAATGTGCTAATCATAATTTAATTTTGTGAACCTCTTTTACACATATAATGTATGAGATAAAACAGTATTTTACATAGGCAAGATGCCTCATTGATGGTCATATTCTATAATGCTGTATCAACACTAGGAGGAGAGAAATCACATTGCTTATGCTGTTCAATTTGAGAATCTGCTGACTGAAGCAGAAATGGAAGTTCAGTTTATTTTCATATTTGGTCTGTGCAATTACCATCAGACCTGGCATTTCTTATGCACTGCTTTAGGGGTGATTCTTTCATGCACTCCATGGAGAGTGAGCAGGTCCCCTGTTGCTATAATTACCTAAGCTCTCGAAGTCCATTGACTACAGAGGCCATCTGAGGTGTGATATGTTCACAGAATCACATAATATTGTCATGTTCAAGGTAGTTGATTTCATCTGAAATAGGGAACTAACTTCAGTAATTTTCCTGCATAACTTGATCATTTAGATCATTATCTTGATGCAGTCCCATATTATAGAAAAAAAATTAAAATAAGCAATTACCTCTATTTCAATACAATTGACTCCTAGCAGCCCTGTGAACAACCACTCTCATACCTTCACTTCTGAAAATCAAGTACCTTTATGAAGAATTGGAAATTAAGCAACCAAAATCAGTCCCTTTTTAATTACAAACATTTTAAAATGTATTACTTCTTTATTATTAAGTATTATTATTAATAATAATATTATTAACAACAATAATACTTTATTATTAACAATTTTAATTAGAAAAAATTAAATATAAAAATACTGCCTTGAGGTTTGGATCTGTGCCATTTACAAAGACATCCATGAAGTTTAAGCACACAAGATCACATGTGTAACATCTGGTATACAAGCAGTTGGAGAGATAGGGCAAGAACATTTAGTGTGGTAATACTGTGTACATTTCATAATATCCACAGGAAAATTCACAATATAAATGTAAATTTAACTGCTACTGCTTAAGACTCGTCGTGATAGCTAAAAAGAAAGTCACCAAACCTACGTGAGAGTGCATGTTTTGCAAAGAGCGTACTAAAACATTGTTTTAATCTTCAGTATATTTGATACTTTGAATTTCTTAAAATTAAAATCTGAATTTTATGTTTTCTTTGGGACTTTTTAAAAACGAGTCTGCTAAATTACTTACTTGTAATATAAATATAGAAGATGGAAAATTGTAAATAACTTATATTGCTAATGGAGTTCAAAAATTTCACTTAATATTTCCAGGTTCTCACTCATTAATACTTGTGTGCAAAAGCAGTAACTCATGAAGATTTTTAATATGCCTGAAATACAATTATTAAGATTACTCAAAAGCAAAAATTAAACCAGCTTGAAGAGAAGGAATACAATCACACACATAACATAATGGCCAGTTCTAAGCAACAGTCTAATACTGGTGCTGCCATCCAGACTAATTTTTCAATATATTTTTCATTTATATGTATATATTTAGGCTGTATATTATATAGCCTAAAATACAGTGGTACTATTCCAAAATCTTCGTGGAATAGAATGCCCAAATCTGAAGTTGTTTTGAATTTAAGAAGGTGCATGAAATGTAGAAAAAACTGCAGGGTGTTGTGGCAGACAGACTGTCCAAATGATTTATCTGTAAAAAACTGTTGGTTATAAGAGCTTGGAGTAAAATTTATATCAGGGATATAAATCTACATCAGATTTGTCTATATATTTGCTATTGTTCCATGGACAAATTTGGAGTAACAAAATGCTTATGTTTAATGTAATATGGACATCTCCTTTTTAGTGATACTAATATGCTTCCTCTGCAAAAGAAAGGACTTTATGTTAAATGTCTGTATTGAAGGTAATTTTCCATGCAGAATATGGAGAGTTGCTTGTTCTTGCTTCTCCCAGAACATGCATGGACTGAGATGTTTCTTGCCTTTCACATGAGGCTCCATGGCTAGATTTAAGGTGATTTTGACCCCTTCCATTTTGTAAATTACTTTTTTTCTCCCTGCAATCAATTTCAGACCAATATATATTTAAACTGGCAAAGGAGCTTTTGAGATGAGTCTTTGATTCAGTTCTCCACTGATGACCTTCTAGTGGAACTGCCAAATTCTAGCCATTTCCCAAATTCTGCTCTTAACCTTTCTCAGTATTTTCTTTAGTCACAGTCTTTTAGGTGGTCATAAAAGACCCAAACTTTATGAGTACAGCCTAACTGTAACTAGTTGTTGTGCCTGATCAGGTATTCATCTCAACATGCATTTGTAGGTCTAATACAAATATGTGAGTTAAGCACTATTACCATAACTACAGGTTGTTGCTTTCCCAAGTGTTGGGACATACTCTGGTTGAAAAAGTATAATGAGAACCATGCTCAGTTTGTGCAATGGAGCACTTGACCTCTTAGAGAATTTATCTGTTTTAAAACTGTAACTAAGTAGTACTTCAGGTTTTATTTATTCCCAATATGGAAGGAAAATTTCATTAAGCAAAAGAAAATAGGTGACTCAGTAGCCTTTTTCAGTATGCACTATACTGAATTTTCATGTATCACAGCTATGAAGAAGGTCAAGCATCAAAAAGGTTTCTGTTCTTCCAGCAGCATCAGGGACCACATGGCTGTCCTTGATGTCTTGAAACAAAAGACACCTTTTTAATGTGAAATCAGACATTTTCTTTTAAAAGAAAACTAGGGAATATACCTATCCTATCAATTTCAAAAGATAATATTTCAGAAAATAAGAAGTCCAAATGGACTATTAAAAAGTTCAGAACATCTAAGTTCAAAGGCTCTTTAAAGTGACTCAGATTGTTGTTTTAGCCACAGCATCAGACAAAATGTTTGAAAAATAAGTGCTCCATCTCAGTTTTAAATAGTCATGTATGATCTCTAGTGACTCGTAAAAATGCTAATTTGTCACATTTAATTAAGTTAATGTGTCCTTGTAAAATATATTTGCATGTCTTTTAAAGGTATCTTTACACAGAACATAAGTATGTGTGTAAAATGGAAAGCCTGTTCCTTTTTGTTTGAAATTAATATTACACCTAGCATGCCTTCTGCTTCAATAACCACACTGTTGTATGACCAAGGTGTGTTTCAAATTTTGCTTGGTGCATTAGTCATACTTCCAGACACAAAAGGTATATGTTTTGGGAGTAGGACTAAAGTTCAGTGACAGAGGCAGGAGAAACATACAGCATACTCTATAAATAAAGATCTGGACAGAGGCCAGTGCGTTTCAATTTAAAAACTGCCTTAAGGTATGTCTACAGGTTCAGGATGGTTTGGCAGTAATATAGGCAAAATAAAATTTAGAACTAAGATTTCCTGTACTCCGTTTTTTTAATGCATCATATATGTGTACTTGAAGGCACAAGCAACAGAAGGTTTGGGAGTGTTTTGTTCTTTTAGAGTGTTTTTGTTCTGTGAAATATTTTCAGCTATTTTCATGACACATTTACTGTTCCTCTTTGACATTGTGGTTTCTAGAGTTGGGCAGGAGGTGGAATTATCTCAAGACTCAAATCGTACACCTTCCCAAAGCCTGGCAGCAAAAAGGTGCCTCATATACTTTTTTTAGGTTTTTGACCGAGTTAAAAATACTTAAACAACTAATTTCACTCTCTTCTCCCCCTCTTTTCGCTTGCTGTCTTGACTACTAACAATTAGATTGTTAAGATTTTCTAAGCTTTCTGCATCTATCCTAATCATCTGCATAATTATGGGCTTGACTTTATAACTGAAGCAATGAGTTTGAAGGAGTTTTAAAAATAGAGGGACTCTTTTTTATTTGTATTTCTGGCATACCAAAATAATGCAGATCTCAATATTTCTGCAAATGAAATGTGATAAAATATCTTTCAAAACCACTCAGTTATAACAGAACGAAATTTATATTTCTACTTTCCTTTCTAATCAGAAAATTATCTTACTTACAATTATGTTATTACTGTACACATTTAGGGAACAATAAAAACAACAAAATACATACTGACATAACCTGTGTGCATAAATCTGCTTATGCATTCACTTTCATTTAGGCAAGTGTAAGGTGTCACAAGACCAAGCAGAGTCTTGTGACAGAGGGAAAATAGGCAAGATGCGAGGGAGCCAAGGGGAGCCCTGCCCTGTCCTAGTGAAAATACTTTTGCATGGCCAGAAAATGGTGCTGTCCAGTAATTGATGTAGTTCAGAAGCATGTAGCTATGAGTTTGTTTGCATGCTGAGAATAATATGGATGCCCTTATTTGATCCATGAGTCTGTATGTTTATTGATTTATTTCCAGTTGCTCTTCAACAAAAATGAGCAAGCATGAAAAGCCCTAGAGGTATGCTACTGTTTAGAATGAAAAGCTCTGCTTGATATATACTGTATTTGATAATCCTGATAAATAACACATATTATTTTCCTACAGCTTCAGTTTGCTTTTATCAGTTTGCTGTATCCCTACAGGATACACAGCTGACAGACCTCATTCTCAATGATACCTCTTTCTCAATGTGTGTTTGTCATATATGAATACAGACACAGTCTCACGATCTGCTCTCAACCATCTGAAATACAGTGCCAAACTATCACACATTTTGGGCTGATTCAGAAAAATGGGTCTGGGGTCTGAACTCGGTAGATGTATTTTTGGTCACACTGCTGTCTGTTAACCTGGTAAAAGCTGTGTCTTGCTCTGGTCACTTTCTAATGTCAAATACCTATTTCCTGCCTTCTGGACATCATAAACAGAGTAGAGACTGAAGCATGTTGGCGTAGTAAAACCAATCATTTTGGAAAATAATTTCAGAAACCCGATTTGATTGCCATTTACATGTACTTTACCTGGAATACTCCAACCCACATAATACTGCCAGATTTTAGACTCTAGACCAAAGCTGTGCTCTGAACTATTCAAAGATTTACTATTCATTAACCCCAATAAGCTCAGTTTACTTTAGACCTGGTTAATTACAGTTACTTCTACTATGTCAAAAACTTTCACACAGTAAACCAGAAAAAATATATTTCTTTTATTTGCTATATTTATTCACTTTTGGGATTTATTTTTTTAATTTCACAAATGCACTATTAGCTTTTCAGACCCAGATAAAAATTTTCGGTCTGTTTTACTATTGTAAAATTGTCAATTTGGACCATTTAAGTGAAATCCTGCCACCTAGTGGCAACTGAGATGCCGTAGCCAAAGCTCCTCTCTTCTCATGGCTAATGAGATGTTTGTCACGCAGTATTTAGCTATTAGTTTTTCATAAAACAAGGTGACTTCATGCATTTTTTCAAATCAGAGTTATTAACCTGAAAGATTATTGCACTTGCTGTATGACTTGCCTTTGTGAGAATCTTACTATGCTATTTACTGTAAAACTGTAATCATCACTGTAAAAGTCAGATTTAGAGTAGTTGGAGTCATGTCATTCATATGTCACATCTTTAAAAGGCTCCTCTAGAGGACTCCTTTCTTGTACTCCTTTTTATTGATTGAATAAATCTATGTTCATCTTGCCCATTCTCTTGTTTCTTGTAAGAACACAAGAAGTAATCACTTATCCTATATCTTAGATGTATTAAGACAAAGATCCTTTTGTCCAAAAAAAAGATCTACAGAATTATACTTGCTGTTTTAAAAGTGTGGGGCAGAAAGGACTCTGCATTTAAATGTTGATTTCATAAAAAGGAAAGTAGGAATATTAACGTAAAAGACATTATTAAATTTTTTCATCCATTTGCAACAATTAGAAATAATTCTATATGTATTGACCAAGCTAAATAATGATAAATAAGACACTATGATTCTTCTTAAACATGAGCAGCTCTCTGAGAAACAGAACCCACTTGGTTATATCTGGTGTCACTGTGTGGTTCTCAGTTCACAGCTGCAGAGCTTTATTTGCAAGGAAGTGATGTACTCTTTTTTTTATGTAGAGCAAGACCATACAATCCTTTTGGATTTTTTGTTGTTGCTGTTGTTCTTGAATTGCAAAGAGCAGTAATATCTCATGTGTCTAATTTGAAGACTTAGCTACGTCTTGGCCAGAGCTATGTTTTTACCAGCTGCTCTCCACTGGTGCATGAATTCTTGAGGTGTGCAAAATTTGGTGTACATTAATTACATTTGGCCAGTTCAAAGTATGCCAGTTGACTTCCAGTCTCCGTGGGGGTTTGGGGTTAGTGAATTGCCTGTGTGAAAATAGAGTTACACAGATCTTGGAAAGCTGTCAGGGTGAATCAGTCTAGGAGAACAAAACTAGAGCTAAGGATCTTGGTTTATACCTTCATTTGCCTTGAGAATGGTAGAATAGTCAATTTGTTCCTTGCCATATCCCAGAACTGTCTTGAGGTTTTGTGGCTTGCCTTGACAGCAAATGGCCTTTTAACACTGTTCCAAGTCAGAAATACTACCCTTACTGTGCCTGACATCAATGTGCTCATCCTACTAGGTCAGAATATTGCTGAAAACTGGCTTCCTACACGTGGTTTGTAGTAAAAGTATGTAGTGAAACCTTTTCTATTTCACCCAGCTGGGCAGATAACTTCATTATGATTTCAACGTCTGTAGTTCCTAGGTCAGGTGTTTCCCCTAATAAATGCAGTTTCCAAATGATAAAACTTCTATTGCATCCTATAGGAAACTTCACAGAATCATAGAATGGTTTGTGTTGGAAAGGACCTTAAAGGTTATTTTCTTACAGTCCCTTTGCCATGGTCAGGGACAGCTTGCACTAGAGCTTTGTTTCTCTTTGCTTGAGAAGAAACTGACCTGCAGAAATAGATTCTGTAATTCCATGTTCCCAGCAGTACACAAACAGAAGTGACCAGATTAATAGATTCTCTCATCTATACTTTATTAAGCCAGGCAAGGAGCTCCAGAAGACACAATGGGTGAGATAGTTTGTGTACCCCATATTATTCCTCTGTCAAGAGTAAAGGCAGAGGAATTGTATTTGAACCAGATGCTTTATTAAGTAATCTTGTCCCTCCTCAGATCAAACAAACCGGCCTAGTATCTGGTCCATGATGTTTGTCCCTGATGTTACACAAGCCTATGAAAGTAGTAACTTTTTACTACAGTTGCTTCCACTTCTTTAAAATAGAGCTCCTCTCTATCCACAAGAGAAACAGGAAATTGTTTTTGCTTTCATTTGTGCTAGTAATTTCTCTATAGCCTAGATAGGGGGAGAAATAGCTTGAAGAAGGAGGAAGGATAGATTAAAGAGAAGTCTTTCTGGCTACTTGTGTTACAAGGCAAATTTTAAAAGAGCATGTAAATTTAATATCTGCAGAATAAGATTTATGCATGACCCACTACAGTTAATTCTCTCCTATCTAATGTTCTGAAAGAATTTGTAATATCTTTCTGTGCTTTTGGCCTGCTCTAACAATAACCTCCAGAATGAAATAACCTCTTTTGGATCCCTTTCTTTCTGATCCTTACCTATGTGTCTCTTGCAAATGTTATGCCAAAATTCTTGGGGGCAGCAGGGAGGGAAAAGTGCTTTTAACTTATCTATTCATTGTTAAACAGAAAAACTTTATTTGTGTGCTACAGCTTCAGTCAACTATTGGCCACCCATCAGAAGAAGCACCTTTTAATCCATATGTGCTGCAAAGGAACAGAGGTCTTACAGGAGCAGAAAGAGGTAGGCAGAGTAATATGTATCATTAATGCAATTTTCTTCCTTATAGCAGAGCTCTTTCTCAATCCTTATTTCTTTTTTCTTGGATATATTTCATATTCTGTTACGTATTGGTATAGCCACTATCACAAGTGAAGCCTGGTAGCTGAAGATACCAGCTGTCATCATCCATAAGAAAAATCATTTAGCAGAAACCCCCTTTTTCCATTTTGAAGTGGAGTATTATTTCCTGGACTCTAAAAACTATGCCCTCACATGTCACAGAAAGAATTGTGCCCTGTTGCATCCACATGGCCACACATAATGCAGTTAAAGTTGGGTGCCTAAGAATGAAGTATGTATAAGGCAGCATTCTGAGTGAAGAATTGTGTGAGGTAACTAATGGGAAGTACCAAGGAGAAGGGCCAACCTTTAGCCCTCCTTTTGTCAAGGAACCTCCTGGTTTCACCTTGCCCAAATGTTCAGTAGTTACAGCATGTCACCAGGGGACACCTCTGTCTTTTGGTCTGCTCTAAAATGCATGTAGATGGACAGCATGTGGTTTCTTTATAATGCCCTTGCAAGTCAAACACACTGATGGTCTTGAACATAAAAAACATGAATATATTAGATGTGGCAGCGAAAATGTCTGATATGATGTCTAATTTTTCATTGTTTGAAATGCAGGTGATCAGAGAGAGGCATTACCCATGGATACTGAGGTCTATGAAAGTCCATATGCCGATCCAGATGAAATTAAACCAAAAAATGTCACTCTTGACAGGAAATTGTTGACTTTGGAGGAAGGTGAACTTGGCTCTGGCAACTTTGGTACTGTAAAAAAAGGGTTCTATAAGATGAAAAAGTGAGTGTTGCCTTCTATTTTCATGGAATCCAGTATGTAACAGCTCTAGCCTTTACTTTTTGCTTGTCATTTGGGGTAACAGACTGTAGCTAATTTAAGCTAAATTCGCCAGTTTCCCTCTTTATATGTACACTTACGCACTCATTTTTGCCATAAAGTGAGGAAGTACTGTTTATGACTATTTTCTTTCCTGATGGGCATAGTAGAGTGGGAATCCCACTGCCTTGCCCCATAGTTTGCAAAAGTACTAATGCTACACAGTATTTCCCATCTGCACAACATCTCTGTCAGAAAATGTGGAGAGTGCCATGAACAGTTTACCTATAGCAAAAAGAGTTTTGCCTGAAGTGTGATGAATACCAGTTTCCTGAAGCTGGAATGTCGATTTTCAGGAAGACAGAACATGTTGTAACATTTTCCATCACATCATGTCAATAGGAACAGACCCTGTTTGTACTTGACTCTTCATGCATTTACATATTAAAATGTTATCAGTATGCTGTTTATGTGCATGGGCTGATTATGTACACACCCTCATCTCTTGAAGTTGGAAGCATTTCTTTAATCAAGGTTTTCAGAGGCAGAAAGGATTTCTATTTTTCCAGTATAGGATGTAGAAATTTGAAGGGCTCTTATCTCAGCTTGTGTATATTTTAATTATGTTTCACACTCGAGCTATGTTGATCCCATCATTCACTCTGTCAGTTTGCTGTATGAATGGGAGTTTGCAGAAGTAGGCTTAGATTCTCGGGTTTCAGAGCCCTGCCTTGGCACCTGGCAGTGCTGCATGTTCCAGTCCCACCCCTAAAACACCCCAGTGCTTAGAAAGCTCTTTATAGCTTTTCTTGTCAGAAAAACTTTATGCCATCCTTACCTGAGTGGACAAGAAAATTTTGTCCAGTATTTTTTTTTTCAGGCTTATTTAGGCATTTTTATGACAATCTGTAATTTTCTCAGGTTATTTTCATTCTAGCTCTTTTGATTAGTTGTCTTCTGAGCATTTGATAGAGACATGTTCCTGTTATGGCTGTTTTCTTCTTCTCTGAGTGTCAATTCTGTCGTTTGTCACAATTTGTACTATGTGAATGGAAATATCTGATGAAGATTGTGTGTGCTGGTGCACAGATTTTTCAGCAACTAGTCCCAGAACTGGATTCTCTTTTGCAGGGGTGCCAAGCCTGTGGCTGTAAAAATTCTGAAGAATGAGAGTAATGATCCAGCCATAAAGGATGAGTTACTGAGAGAAGCAAATGTAATGCAGCAACTGGATAACCCATATATTGTCCGAATGATAGGTATATGTGAAGCTGAGGCCTGGATGTTAGTAATGGAAATGGCTGAACTTGGGCCATTGAACAAATTTTTGCAAAAAAATAGGTATGTAAACTTTGATTCCATTCCATAGGAATGGAAAAGTTCCTTTCTTTTATTTTTTTCTTTAAGGACAATTAAAATTGATATATTGTTAATGTAATAATTAATGACTGTAGTTACTCTTCACTGGAACGTGTCTCCAAACTGTGGAGTATTTCTGCCAAAATAGAGTATTTTGAATAAATGAAGATTTTTCATACATGCTTCATCTTCTCCTTTATTGATGTGATCACACATCATCTAGCCCAGGACAAGAGCTTAGATTGCCTTTTCAAACTGAAGCTTAGCTAAATGTAAGTGAATCAGGTTCCCAGTGTAATGTGTACAAGTTCAGAGTAAAGATTTGTATCTGAACTCCATGAAAAGTCATGAAAATGAACTACTGACCTCTTTAAAATTCAATTGTGATTTTCAGACATGTCACAGAGAAGAATATAACAGAGCTGGTGCATCAGGTTTCCATGGGGATGAAATACCTGGAGGAGAATAATTTTGTTCATAGGGATCTGGCTGCAAGAAATGTGCTCTTAGTCACTCAACATTATGCCAAAATTAGTGACTTTGGACTTTCTAAAGCTCTTAGTGCTGATGAAAATTATTACAAGGTAAGGTCTGAACACAACATACAAACTATGTAGTATCATAGCTTAATAAGGATATTTTCAGTTGAAATGCATTTGAAAATGAGAAATATTATTTATCACTTGTTATTTTATAACCAGATACTAGATTACCAAATTCAAAATATGTGTTCAACATTAAGACATGTAGAGAAGAAAAAGCTTGTCCCTCCATTTTCTTGTCTACTTGTTTTCCTTTTGATAAACTTGTCATTAGAAGATTGAAAGTTATTGTGGAAATGAGATACTACCTTATATAAATGGGTGAAAATGTGTTTGTGGCAAAACAGTTCTCATCATGTCCAAGTAAAACATAAGCTAGCACTAATACACTGCAATTAGGGGAGATTTTTGCAGGAATACCATTGTTAAATAATAAATTAACATAAGCAAAATTTGTTTATATTGGTTTTAAATTCTTTGGACCTCTGTGCTCCTCAAGTGATTAAAATACTTGCAACATTTAATACGGTAAAAGGTGGGAGACAAAGGCAGTTACCAGGTCTATATTTGTTTTTTTCTGATACATCACTCTTGAGATTCAAATTACTTCTTCTTTCTGCTTATTCCCTTTTATCAGCTCTTTGAAACTAATAATCCAACCCCTGAAACACTGCAGAGGAGAAGCAAGCCCGTGCTCCCTTGTGATGGCCTTTCTGTGTAGGAACAGTTGTCACTGCTGCCAGAAAAGGCGTCTCAAATCTCTGCCACTAGCTTGCCAATCCCAGTCTCAGGGCCTTCAGAATTAGTATCAAAGTCCATTTTCTTTACAACTCCATAGGATGCAGTAGGGCCCTGTCACTAGGTCTAGCACTGTGCTGGTATAGCTTGACACTTGAATGGTGATAAAGCAGTGTTATGGCATAATTTAGGTAAATTGCAGTTTGCCACAAGAAAGTCACTGTGCTTTGAAATAGAGCACCCGCTTCAACCATCTGGACACATCTCTTAGCCTTAGTGAGATCCAAATGGAAAAAATTATTCTAAAGAGCAACTTTAAATTAAATGCCATTAAAAGTGTGACTCAAAGTCGTTTAGCTACACTCTTTTTTTACCATGGGTTTAATTTCAATGCATTATTTTGAAAGTGGAAGGTTATAACAATTTTGTAACACTTTAGAAGAAGCTGTTACCCATTTTCTCTAATGCTAACTGCATCAGAAATGTTACTGTACTTAGTACAAATGTTAATGTACTTAGTACAAATGTGTGTAGAGCTAAGTTAACGTTAATTATGTGCATTCAGATGTTGTTTGCTACTTATAATTTTATCTAGTCTGCTTTTTTTCCTTTCTGTTATGACATATTCTAGGCACAAAGTCATGGAAAATGGCCAGTCAAATGGTATGCTCCAGAATGCATGAATTTCTACAAATTTTCTAGCAAAAGTGATGTCTGGAGCTTTGGGGTTTTAATGTGGGAAGCTTTCTCTTATGGACAAAAACCATATAAGGTGAGTGGTTTTATTTTGGTTTTATTTTTTATTTAAAAATTCAGAGCAAATTTGAACCAATATCTTTTTCTAACTAAAAGGACTTGCTGCAACAAAAGAGTCAAAGGATAGCCCAAAAATGAGTTCCAGACCTCTGTTTGATTTATGCTGTCATGTATGCTGTAATCATTTGCAACTTGGATGATTGTTCTGGTCACCCTGTTCCAGGGAATGAAAGGTGGTGAAGTTGCACAGATGATTGAAAGAGGAGAACGAATGGAACGTCCTGAAGTCTGCCCAACAGAAGTCTACAGTCTAATGAAATTGTGCTGGACATACAAGTGAGTGTGATGGGATGCTCTTTTGATAGGAGTGCATTTTAATCTACATGATTAAGAGCCAGAAAGGGGGTGAGTAGGGCTTCCTTCAAAATACATCTTTTCAGCTGGAGTTTAGCTTACAACCATGCTCCAAGGTCAGAAGTCAATTGCATTTTCAGGTGAAAATTATCTGATTTATAGAGTGTACTACAAAAAGCCAATTTTGTAGAACAGAGTTTACTGGAATAATTATATGCAAAATAGGCGGTATCATAAAAAATAACTACACAAAAGAATCAATCTAATGCATTTTGAAAAGAATGTTTCAAAGTAAGCAAATATTTTTGTTTCATTTTGAATTAATTTAATTTTAATTTCCAAGGCTTTAACTTTACTGAAATTTCAAAGTCATATGACCAAAATGTTTGTTCTCTTTCTCAATATTTAATTTTTTTAAGCTCTTTATCTCTTCTCTAATAACAAAATATATTCAAATTGGATCCCACACTGACTTCTTATCAGTGAGAGGCAAACCATCTTTTCTGGTATGTCAGAAACATTTTTTTCTGTTTCATAACCATTTAGAAATTAGAATTATGAAATACGGGAAAAAATAAAGCCTACCTGATTTTTTAATTACTATATAGCAAAAATGTATTGAAACTCTTTCATGATTTATTGTTTTAAGCTATTCTGCTGAAGTTACTTTTAACTGTAGGAAGTCCCCAGAAAACATCCAAAATTACTCTAATATCACTTATTCTTCCAGTTCACCATCAGGTGAATATGTTTGTCCAAAAGTTCTACATTAGGGAGCTCTGGCACTTCATTTTTAGGTACCTTGCTTCTTTGTTAGCTTTATTAAACCTAATACTCTAGAAAGAACCAAAAAGTAATTCCTACCTTTTGTTTTGACTCAAGGAAAGCTGTAGCAGTTCTACAGTGAAAGGGATCCGGTTTTTGTTTTAGCAATAAACATATCATAAAGCATGCTGATTTTGTTTTTGTACTAAAATATCTATATTATTAGAAAGAAAATAAATTTTTAAAAGAAGGTTCAGATCAGGCATAGTAACTAACTCAATGTGTAATGTAAAATTGTAAGGGCTTGTTGTCAGTTTAATTGTGTTCTCCAAATAAACAATTGCAAATGTAAAAGAAAGATGGTAGAGTCATATGGTGTGTGGGTAGGCACCTCTCAGTGCTTCTAACAACTCTGTGTGATGGTACTACCCTTTATAAGGCAGATATTGCATGGCAAATATTCTTTTCTCCAGATTATTGCTAAAGTAAATGAAGTAGAAATTAAATTGAGCTGATTTACCATTTCTTTATTCTGGTACCTTCATCAACCACAAACAGGCATGATAGTAAATCCACTACTCTGTAGTAGTATTTGTCACTTGGTATTAATTTTGTAGTATAATTTTTAAAGCTTTAAAATACTGCGAGCATCTTTAAGTGGGCTGTCACTGAGGTGGAGTCTCAAGGGCTGTAAGGCCCATGAACCTTGACAGCTCTGTCCTTCCTGCACAGTGACAATTGTCATCTTCCCACAGCGTTGATGACCGACCAGGATTTGTTGCAGTCGAGATGAGATTACGTAACTACTACTATGACATTTCCCACTAACAGCGTGGAGAGCAGCAGCTTCCTCGTCTCCAGCCAACACCCTCTGAGAAGCAACACATTTTCCAAAACCAAACAACCTCAATTTTTGTACTTCCATTTTCAACCTGCAAAGCTCAGAGCTGAGCCTTGTGTCTGTAAGGTTGCCTTCTCTTACCTTTTGCACAAAATCCAGCCCCAAAAGAGTTTTGGAAGTGTAACAGTCTCAAAGTGTGCAGCAAGGATGTTAGATAACATGCTTGTACTTTTGCTACATTCCATTTCATTTTATTTACAGCTTTTATTTGCATTACATTTTTCAGTCCTGTAAAACCTATTTAATGACTTTGAGCCCTCTTCCTCTCCTACACTCAAATGCAGATTGGAATTTAAATTCTTCTCATCAACATTATTAGCCTTTAAATGTATTTAGTTGTTCCAGCCTTCCTTTCCTTGAAGAAGAATAGCATAAACATTTCTCACTATGAAGCAAATTCACTGTGCAAGTATGTCAGATGCTTTGACTGACAGTGTGTTTGATTTTATCACCGAGCCCCTTTAAACCAAATCACATTATTCCTAGCAGTAAAGTAGGCAGAGGGGAATCGGGAGTTCTGACTTTCTAACATCATTGCACTTTTTAAATGTGACCATTTTCTTTTGTTCCTCATCTCTTCTTTTGTTCCTCAGCCCAGCTGTTCCTCAGGGAGTTATTTTTTTTCCTAGTAAAAACTGGAAACTCAGAGGCTTGATTTCATCTTGGAAGAAAATATCCCAGCACCTAAGATGATTCTATATTTTAAAGTAAACTCCAACACTGCATTCCAGAAAATACACCTGTGATGGAGCAGCACTTACCTTTCTCTGTGCTCTTCCATCATTCTCCAGACACATCTTTTCTATCTATCTATTTGGGTATACCATAACTCCTTGTGTTGTCTTTTGAGCAGCAATCATTTCTATCTTTTCTTAAAACCTTTCTTTAAAAAGCATGTGAGAATTTCACCACACCTTACGGCCTCTAAAGTTAAATTTCATGTCTAGTTCATCTATTTTATAATGGGCAAATGGACAACAAGATTACCAGTTCCAAAATCTTAGTATTTGTCCTGTAGGACAAATCTCAGTGGACATCTCAGGAAAAGGAATTTGTCTTATCACTCTTCTGTAATGTAGTGTGCGTCTCCATTATATTGGAAGTATAGCAGAGTAATAACAAATTATGTAATCATTTCTGATTCTGTTTTTACCTTTATGCTTTGCTTTCTAAAACTCATTTTAAATATTATCAATAGCAACATTTCTATCACTTATTATTTACAAGCATCTATTTTATTGTCATTTGCATATATCTCAGGAATCTACTTACATTTTGTCTGCTAGATATAGAGATTTTAGAAGAATATGAAGAATAAGATTTAGAGTTAGATATATTTATTGCATATGGCTGGTTAGATTATACATGTTTAATTTTTGTGTGAACAGAGTATTCTTAGAGATAAAATGGTATTTTTTTCTCTAGTAATTAAATTGTATGAGCAATTAAACTGAGAAAGGGTGAAATAATTGTCATCAAAGACAGGATCTATAAACAAATGTAGAAGCTACTGGTATTTTTTTTTCTTTTTACTAAGTTTAAGGTCTATTTGTTAAATAATATCTGGTGCCTTTTAGTAGTTTAGTCTTGGCTGTCCAGTGCAAGGCACCACAGGCTACTGGAAGATACTGAGTGTAATAGACTGCGTTTCAAATGTGATCAAATGTGACTTACCTTAAAGATGATTTAATTTTGTTTTGTTTTTAGGTTTTCCTACAGACCAGCTTCTGTAGAAGTTAGCCATAGTTATACATAGCTTTTGTCACTTTAGTTATGTTGCAGAGAATTTGTTATCTCTACATGTGCAATTAGTACAATTATGGGGATATTAGCTATAAACAAATTGCACACATCTCTATGAACCAGCAAGTGACAGTATTCAATTTTCCAGAATGAGAGATACGTTTATCTCTATCTCTCATTCTTTTTAAAAGTGATGTCTGATACAACCTGGAGGATTATTTCTTCTCTTCTGAGTGAATGTCAACATCACTTTCTGGAGTTACTTGATTATTTTCAACTTCACTATTACATAATAAAAGTTTACAATGAGAATATAAAGTATCGTGAAATAAAAGAATTAGGTTTTAACATTTTAATTAAAGATACTTTTATAAAATATGCTGTCTTAACAAGAATCCTTTCATAATTACATGCTTTGTAAAAAATCCTGATGCTGTGTGTATATGTACTGAGTTACTGTGATTGTTGTGAAAGACTGAGATTTACCTACTGACAATGAAAGATACCCACCAGGACAGATAAGGCCACTGAAGCCTGGGCTTCAGGAATAGCAGGAAATTCCCAAAATATGCACATTGTTATTGCACCTAAGTCTTTTTTAAGGGATTTACAACAATACTGTGCTGAATCTGGAAGGTTAGAGATGCGAGGAGTCAGTGCAGTATATCAGCTAGCCAAGAATTTCTGTCTTACAGATGTCAGCTATGCCAGATTTAAGTCACATTATATGACATGGAGCCTCCCTGAGATGCAGATATATTCTAAAATAATAACAGCAAATCTTAGTCTTTCATTTAGCTTTTTTTTGCATGCTCAGGTTCTCAGGAAAGCTCTTTCATTTAGCTTTTTTTTGCATGCTCAGGTTCATGAATAAGGCTAGATGAGTGTGAATTTGAATAGTAAACAAGAAAGGCAGACAATTCTTCAAGCAGGTACTTACCTTTGGGGGGGATCAGTCAGTGACTGTGACTGACTCTGTTCTTCTGCGGATGTTTTCCTACGTAGCAAATCTGGCCTAATTGCTGCACCTTCCCACTTGTAGGGCTGCACCAGCAACTGACATGAAGAGACTTTTTCTCTTTTGGCTGTCTGGATCTGGTTGTCTATTTTTAGATTGACTTGTCTCAGAAATGCCACTTGGTGGTGTAGGCCTACAGATGATTGTCATGACAGAGCTAAAGGGTAAGAAAACTGCAGGATGTAGTTAGGGAGGCTGGTGGAAAAGAAGAACTAGGTAATAACACGCTAAGAGGGCTTTTCACTGAAGGAAGACTGTGTATTTACACCTTTGGTTAGGGCTTAAATTTACAAAATTGTGGAGTATGATTTTGAAGTATGAGAAGAATGTGACTTTTTCCATAAAGACACACCCAGACATCCTAAAAGCCCTGGTCCAGCCTGTCCGTGCTTCTAACACTGTGCAAAAAGGGGGCTTTTAATCAGACAGTGAGAAATACACATAATTTTCACCCTTAAATCAGCACAGTCAGCCCTGCCAGTTTGCCAAAGAACCCACACCTGCAAGCAGCCTGGCCTATAGAGGCAGGCCATGCACGGAGGCAGCAGTGTGTCCTCACCCCTGCCCTGCCAGGAGGTGGCAATGCCTGAACACGGCTGGAGTGAAGCACTTGTCTGGCCAATTCTGGCACTCTCTACTCTGCCCCGACTGTTGTTGTGCCTGCATGTTACAGAGGACAAACTCTCTTTGCTCCTTGCTGTGAAGCAATGTTGCATGTGAGGACGAATCATCATTTATTTATATGGTGGATAGTCAGCTGTGGATGATTAACCAAGACTTCTGAGACTCAGTGTCCGCTTGTCTTTTAAGTGATCACAGCAATGAGGGATTGCATGCAGAAAGATACAGACTACGCCCCACACGTGCCTTGAAGGGAGTGAGGGTGACATATGGATTGAATAATATAGGGAGACATTAAGCAAGCAGTTGTAATTACCAGCCCTAAGTTTAGTGAGTTCAGACTCAAGAAGAGTTGAAGACTGCAAGGCATGCAGAAGAAGAAGAAGAAAATAGATTCCTGTTTAAAAAAACAGTCAGAGAGATGTAAGGCAAATCCTGAGAACAGTCCTCCAATCACTCCGAGTTCTGAAGCCAAGCTAGAGCTGTGCATCCATGTCCAAATAAGTATTTTATTATTTTCTGTCACATATGTGATAATTGAGACAAAGACCCACTGGGTTCCTTGACATATAATTAACTCTGCATGGAGTATAACGACTGCTTCCCTGAGGCAGTGGAGGTGTGCACATTTCTTGATAACCAGAGAAGAGAGGAAACAAGAGGCAGCTGGGGAAAGCATTACACTACTGTCCATTAAAATTCATTGCTTCAAATGTAAATAGTCCACCAGTCCAGTGTAAATGTGCAGAGATCATTAACTCCCCTTGTCTATCCACCCCTGCAAATGCCTTAAGATGTCACGTCAATAAATTGTTAGGTCTTGCTTAACTGTATCAAAGTGTGGGGGAATGCCACTGCCATGCACCTGCAGCTACACTGCCCATGTAGCACACTCCACGTGTCAGAGGTTCAGTCAGCTGAGTGCCAGGCTCCCTGTGCCTCTGCCATGTCAGAAATGCAATACATTTCTGCAATAATAGAAAAAGATAGAAAAAAATTTGCAAAGTGACACTGTCCTGTTCCATTGCCCCTGCCAGTGGCTGCTTTACTATCAACATCTGTTCTTCCTACTTCCTGCTTTAATAAAGAGAAATTGTGCCAGTTTCAGCAACAGCAAGACTGAATTGCATGACTGAACAGCAGAACATGTAGCAGAGAACTTTAATAGCTGTGTCTTGAACAGCTTAAAGACTTACCTTTAAAAATATTACACACCTGTGCACATATGCAAATATTTCTTGTCATTATTTCATACTTGAGTTCAATAATTATTTGTTCCTCAGTTGTTACTGCACAACCTTTGTAGGTGCATCTTTAAGTCTTGTTCTAATTAATGTGCAGTGTTACCAAAAGATTTCTCTCTGACTGGTGTGTCAGGTTCCACCTCCTAAGCTGAGGCTGAGACCAGCTGGAAAGAATAAATAATGTTGGTCTTCAGTGACAATTTTAGAAGGTAACAAGAAAACTTGGTATCTTGTTAGATAACAAGGAGATGGCTGCAGGGAGCATGAAATGCATGAGAGGTATAAGCTCACTGAGCTTGTCAAAGAGCAGCGCTTTGGGGTGTTTTTCCCACTCTACTTTGGAGCATATGTAAATTGACTGTTTGGCTAGGTTTGATGTTTCTTTTCCCAAAAGACAAATATTTAGAGTCAATGTTTCCTTAATTTTCTCCAGTAATGACACATCTTTATACCTGTAGTTGGGTATAAAAACCTAGATTATCATTTTGTTTCAGCAAGATTTCCTCTGTTGCCAGTAAATGCCCCAAACCGGGCTGTTTCTATACATACAGCTACACACCTTGCACTCAGGAGCCACCTCATTTTTTGCACACTTCTAATGCACTAGAGCACAAAATATCTTTTTTTTTTCTCTTTCTTCTGTAAATATGTTGTTTACTCTGTGATGGATACACATATCTTTGGATATTTTAAAATTGAATATTCATGGTTTTACTGCTTCCCCAGGGGCATGCAGCAGTGAGGTACTATTTTTAAACTCCTCAGTCAGCTATGACTTCCTTTTTGTCTGTCCACTCTGTATCTGCCATAGGGAGTGAGCATGGCATTCCTCATCTTTTTGTGGTTTCTACTTATAAGGAATAAGCAGAACAAGTAGTGGTTCTTGTTGGTGCTGGAGTACTACACAAGTCATATTACAGGAAAAAGCAAAGACTGAATCATGTCTCAGAAATTCACCCTGCAGTGTCACACTGTACCCGAGTTAATGCAAACCAGAACTCCTGCTATACAAGCACAAGTACAAAGCTCACAGTTTGTTCCCAAAACTCCCACAGCTTTTTCCATGCCAGCTATATAAAAGAAAAAAACAAAAACGTAACCAAACACCAAAACCCAACAACATTTAATAATATGACACATTCCTGTGTTTGTTTGCAGAACTGTACGTGAGCAATTTTATGAGTCATTTAATTACAAGGAAGGCACGGCCTGGACAAAGAAATACACTCGAAGTTTGCTTGGGCTGGGGACAGTCTCTGTCTTTCCTTCCCCCCAAAATAAAAATGTCCCAGTGTGTTTGAAATGCAGCTAGAAGGAACAAAGATGTCAGATGCTACACCAAAACTGAGACAGCTGTGAGACTGGTGGTGCCTACACCTTCTGCTTGAGAACTGCCTTTTTTGGTGGTGGTGCCCTGCCAGGCCCACAAAGCCAGCATGTCCCATTGCTTGGCCCCCAGGCCTAAGCAGGAACCTGCTGATTACTATGCATTAACAAACATTTGTGGAAAAAACACCTAAATACTGCCCCCTCTTCACCTAACATAAACATCATACACTGAAAATGTCACACAAACTGGGATATGTACTTGAAAGAGAAGGAGGCTTTAAATGCCTTTTAAATTTATTTATCCCAGTAAATGCAGCCAGCCTTTGTTCTTTCTTACCCAAGGAGCTCACCTGCTGCTGGCATGTCCTGGCTAGATGTTATTGCCTACCTTTTGGATGTTACCAGGAAATCAGTAACTTCAAAAGGTGAGGTGGAGTGGGATGGGAAGGGATGGGAAGGGGGACAGACACTATACTCATCTCTTGCAAAAAAACCTATGAAACACACTTTCACTCGTAAGCTAAGAAATTTAAAGTAGCTGGAAACTGGGACTGAAACATTCAGGTCACCAATAGGGCTCACCTTTCAGCCTAGCAAGCAGTACCATTTTTGTGGAGGCAATGTGATAGAGCACAATTTTACAAAGGTCTTTCATTTTGTAAAAAGAATGCCCGTGTAAGATTAAATTAAATTCTTTGGCTGATTTGTTTATTTTCCTTTACCTGTGCTTAGCAACATGCAACCATGTATAAATATGCCTTACTTCAGAAATATTTTTATTCTCACCACTAATTAACAGGCATGTACCTTCCAGTCTTGCTGTTGGTTGTGGGAAGCCCGCAGCAGTGGGACAAACTTGGTTCAGACCTACTGATTTCAAGGAAGAAAACTTGCAGATCCTGCTGCATGCTCACAGCTCCTCTGCTTCTGCATGGCCATTTGTACTCCCATTGGGCTCACCATAGTCAAAATTCCCCTGCCACCCAGAGAAATTGCCTTGACCCTAAGTAAGTTTTGTGAAGGGCACTGGACAGCTGCCAGCCATAAGACTCTTCTGTGGGAAAATGCTCCAGACAATGGTGAAGTGGCAAAGAACACCAGGTACCACCTCCTGCCACTGCTGGGGAACAGGATCTGGGATCCTGTTCCACTGAGGTGGCAAGAGTCCTGACACAGCCATGCAGCACTGCTGTTCTGCAGTACCACTAGCTGCTGATGAGCCAGGGGCAGAGCATGACAATGCAAACCTCAGATGAATGCTGGTACCAGGGCTGTTTCTGTCTTTTTAGATAAGTGCTGATCAGCCTAATAAATTGTTTCCTCTTCTCGTATTTCAGACAGACACTTTTGTGGCTCTCCCAATAGGAATGCCAGTCTACCTGTCTGAGTAAAGAAAGCGAGGGAAGAAATGAGGCTCTAGATGTCATCACAGATATGGTGATGTGTAGAGCAAATTTTCATGTTGGTGGGGATCTTTTGTTATATTCAGGAAAGGTGTCTCTCTCCTGTGTCAGTATGGGTTTTGAGCTGAGCTTTTCCTCCCTTTCAGTTTAGATTAAAAAACACACACCTAGCTTTAGGTGACCAAGCAAAGCTAAAGGACGCAGAAAGAAG